CAAGGGCTTCCCGTGCACTGTTGGAGGACGGGGGGGGGCCCCCCGCAACCGTGATTACCGGCTTCCGAAGCCTCTGAAGACTTCCCCAGCACCATCGCAGTTGTGGGGGACCCTGCCAGTCCTCCGATGGTGCTTCCCCAGCTTCCTAACTGGTAAGTGACTTTTTCAGAGTTTTTTGGCCCATAGGAATGCATTAATTAAATTTCAATGTATTCCCATGGGAAAACGTACCTCGCAAGATGAAAATATCTTCGTCTTGTGGGGCACCTAAAAACTCGCAAGAGGCTTTCATCTTGTGAGTTTTTCGTTGCCCAAGGCATTTGTCTTGCGAGGTACCACTGTACAGGCTGCAGTATTCCTCCTAGGAACACCGCTGCTAATATGTCGTATTGTTAATTCTCTGCAGTAGATAATGTAGACAGGTCAGCCCTCAGGAAAAAAATGTGTTGTTTTTTTTTGGTTCTGTTTTAATGCGGTTCCCTGATCTTGCCCTCCTAATGCTCATTTATAACTTGCTAGAATCCCCGTGATGTTTCCACCAGCAGCAGCAGCCAGCACAGCTCACTGCTTCTGGGATGAACCACTGCAACAGATTATAGGACAGGTTCTCTTATCTTCTACCCCCAACACATGCTTGAAAGAATACTTTCTAACCAAAATGTATATAATATATAATATCCCATATGCATACATGTTGACTTCACAGTGTCACACATAATGTTATTCCTCCCCCTCACGCACACACACGCACACTTCCTTTAACAAAGGCAAACAAAAATATAGTAGCAATATGGGTCAACTGTCCTAGTTTTGACATAACATATGACTACTGAAAACAGGTCAGGGCTGAAGTCTTACTTGATGCTTTGGAAGAGAAGGAGGAAGCGGCCGAATCGTTGGAGCCTGACCTTTCCCTTTTGACAGGGCTTCTCTTTTCCGAAGCTGAGCCTGTTTCACAATGGAGGGAAACCAACTTGCATCACACTTTCTGGACACGGCAGGCCAATGTGATCTCAACTTCAAAAGGTAAAGCCGTTCTTCTTGACAGGGGGGTGGAAAGGGGCTGTTCCTTTCTGCCGCTTCAGAGGATAACAGCTACCCACCCCCCACGCTCCAGATGTCATTAGACTCCCACGATCTCTCAGCACTGGCTAGGGAGGATGGGAGCGATCGTGAAATAACACTGGGAGGCCCACATGTCTGCCCTTCCCAATCTAAACAATGAAATCATAAATATTAAATACTGAGACAAATGAATGAAGAGTGTCACATTTTAAAACACCGCTGTGTTTTCCGTTTATTTTCAAGCTCTGGATTCTGCCCTGCGCAATACAGGTGGTCCAAACGATGACCGCCAGTTTCAGTTCTAGACAGGATTGCGAAACAACCCCACCTCCAAACCCTCCTGCCAATTTCTATTCCCTCCTCTCAGCTCCCCAATAAAATGCTGGCAGCTGCTTCTCTTTCCGCGTTCCTGCTGAATTAAGCGACTGGGAACTGGTTAAGCCCCAATTAATTATAGTCAGTATATCCATAAATCTCATTCTGCCAAGCAGAACCTCTTTTAGCTCAGTGCCCCCTCCCCAAACTCAGATACCACTACCCTTGATGCTTTTTAATTACATTTGCCATCATCCCATTCAGTCTGATGTCTAGGCAGAGAATGGTGGACATTGGGACACATCTGGAGGGCTTCGGGTTGAGGAACAGAAAAGAACTCAACGGTTCTACCTTCTGTGACTGTTTCTTCATCTTCATTGTCGGTGCTGCTCAGCTTCTCGGGATCACTCTCTAGGACATCGCTGCTCGTAACAACTTTCTCCACCGGGATTTCAGAGCTGACAAAATAGGCTGCCAAACCAAGTTCTTGCTCCAAGGCTGTTCTCACCAAGCACGAGGAATTGATCAGACGCAGGTCACAGTATCTCAAGGACCTTGTGGGGAGAGGCCAACGAGAGAAAGTGCACACATTTTTGCAGTATTCCTCCCGTTATAATGTTCTCATTTCCTTTCCGCAGTACGTAGTGAAGCAAAATGCCCAGTCTCTCTGGCATTTCAACCCTACCGTGACCGCTGCAGTCATCAATGTCCAGTGAACATTAGCACAAACAAGGCAGGCAGGCAATTGCTGCCTACGGGTTGCACTGAGAATAACCTGAGCAAAAAGGTTTTCAGCATGGTTCTCTCACATCTGGCACAGAAAGCTACACAACTGGGTGAGGAACAGCAAACTTATTACTCATGATCCACCTAGGGAAAGAAACACGTATCTATGTATTCACGAAGGCTTGCATGGCCGGGATCTAATGGTTGTTGTGGGTTTTCTGGGCTCTTTGGCCGTGGTCTGAAGGTTGTTCTTCCTAACGTTTTGCCAGTCTCTGTGGCCAGCATCTTCAGAGGACAGCACTCTGTGCTCTGGTGACAATTGTCATTGTCAGCACTGACAATGAAGATGAAGAAACAGTCACAGAAAGTAGAACCGTTGAGTTCTTTTCTGTTCTTCAACCTGTAGGCTTCCAGATGTGTCCCAGAGCACATAGTGCTGTCCTCTGAAGATGCCGGCCACAGAGACTGGCGAAACATTAGGAAGAACAACCTTCAGAACACGGCCAAAGAGCCCGAAAAACACACAACCACCAAAACACGTATCTGTTCCCTTCTCTGTTGGTTGTTTGTTAGTCATCCTACAAACCACCATTAGGAACCACCACTTGTTGTTGGCTTAGGCTGTCTGGCTTGTTCAAGCCATGACTTTTGTCACATTTTAATCCGGAATTGTGGCTTGCTTCTTGCTTGTCTCCCTAACTGCCTACCCTAAAATGGAAACTAAAAAAAAAAAAAAACCACACACACACAAGAGAAACAAGCAAGATCAGAAACAAGAGAAAAACTGTGGCTTGGTTATCTGCAGGACAATTTAAGGCTAATGCAATAAACCATGGCTGACATAGACCACAGCTTAACTGCAGTGTAGTCAATTGATATTTCTGGACCTTTGTGGCTATGGAGAGAACATGACTTTGTTGAAGGCTTGAGCTTCAAAACCAGCCATGTCATGAGGTAAGATCCATGCCAAGAATTTGGGAAATGGTGAAGTGGTGCAAACCCACATAACATAAATAACAAAACAAATAAGATTTTTACTGATACTGGACATCCTGAAATTCCAAGAGCTGCATGCGAAACCCTAAAGAGGTTCCATGAAACTGAGAAGCTAACATTCATGAGGGCTGGCCACAGAAAAGGTGGTCGGTATACAAATCAAATAAATAATACTAATTATTATTATTATCAGTCCTAATCTGTTTTAAGTGCTCCAGAATTGCTGCCATGTGTTAATAGAATTCATATGATTAGTGGCAGCAAGAGGTTGTAATCAGAAAGAAATCAGCTTTATTTCATGGGAGTAATTCCCAGTGCAAAATTATTACCTTGGGAGGGATTCCCCTTGAGGGTCCATTCCGCTAAAGATCAAAATGCAAGGTAGACCCTCCAGCTCCAAATAGGTCTGGGGCCTCCACTCAGCATCCTCAATTTTCTGCCAAATCTGTCACAATATATGAAAAAACATATACATACATACATACCAAAAACAACAACAACAACAACCACAATCGGTATATGAATGACTACAGCTGCAGATGGAACCTGGTCAACCTAATGGCTAATGCTTGGAAAAGTGCCATTTAAGATGACATAATTCCTAGAATCCCCTCATGCTGGCTGAGGGATTCTGGGAAGTCTTTGCCTACAGTTAGGCAGAAAGCTTCATGGCAGTCAGATGTCTCAGCCGTGAGGCCAGAGGGGCAAATACATGGACAGTGAGACCAGCTATTCAGAAACAGCAGCCTAGACTGCTAGGATGTCCTTCCATACCACATAGGCTAAGATCCCAACTGGTCACTTAATGGATGTAATTGATCAGCAGAGGTTGGTGTTCTTGCCAGCCACCATCCCTAACCGGCAATCACACACTCTGTGCCACTCCAGTTCTTCTGTGCCCAAGTTACCTTCAACTGCTCCAGGAAGTGCTTCCCAATGGTGATTCCAGAGTTGGGCTTCCCCAAGATGATTTCAAAATGGTCTTCGAGGGCTAGTCTTTCCCTCACATGACTGAGGCGTTCGTAAGCCACTGCTGCCAAAGGGGTGCAAGGAATCCTCAACACCACCATCAGCCCATGTCCGCTAGGGCACTGCCGCGAAGAATTGATGAGATTCTGAGTGATTTCCAGCGTTTCCACTGTCGTGTAGTTCTTCATCTGAGATAACCCACAGACTGCCATCATGGCAGCAGAGTAGTGTTGGACAAGAACAAACGTTCTGATCACTGCACTGTGTAATCTGGGAAACCTGGAACGAAACACAAAGAACTTGAGGCGATTCTTTGCTTGCTGAACATCACAACCAGCCCCTTCAGCAGTCTTACAGTCAGCAAATGAAACTACGCCTGGGCCATATATTTTGGTCCAGCCAAATGTGAGAGATTTTGGAGGAACCTCGTGGTGATGGTTAGGGTTCCCAAAGAGCAGAAGAAGGGGGTGAACCTTTTGGTGAGGGACCAGCTTTTCAGGGGATGATCCTTAGTTGTTATCAAAGCTTGGAAAAATAACTTTTCTGAATGTTGGCTATTATTCAAGAGGGAAATAATGTTCTTTCAACTATGGGGCAGACCAGAAGATTTTTGTTTAATTTGCTGCTCTCCCATTCTTTTAAAATATTTCATTCAAGTTAAGAGTTGCTCCAAGTGGCTAGGAGGCCTGGATTTTGCTGCACTTTTTAAAAAGGGAGCTGGAAATTTGTTTGGGAAGGACATTGAAATAATTTCTTATTTCCCTAATTACAAGCTTTACTGCTTAAAACCGTAAGTCATCACAGTGTGTCAGCAATGTATTTCCCTAATTAGTAACCTGAAAACAGAACTGGCCGTGTAACTGTCGCTGTTCAAAACATCATGATATATGCGAGACAACAAGTGTATTTGGTTACGAGCAGAAAGGACAACAAACAATAGAAATGGCACTCCTTTTCTTTTAAGATCCAGTTCATGGAACTGTGTACTCCCAGGCAAAAGCTTGCATTCTGATTACACTGTAGGGCATAACGTTTTACCTCTTCCCCAAAGCCATGACCATTGCTTCAAAAGAGCTGTCATAACGGAGCAGTGGAAGGCTATGTCCGGAAAGAGTCGATTCAATAAATTCAGACAATCCATAGTATTTCTTGTTTTCATGATATAAATCTACGCCCTAAAACAAATAAGACCAACTATTAGAGAGGTTTTCTATGGCCATTATTTTGCAATCAATGCATGTAATCATATCCGACGGGCATAAAGAAATACAGGCACACAGTGGTAGCAAACTCTTGCTCATTCTCCCTCAGAGCTTGGAAACATTACTTTTTTCTGAACAATGAATCTGCACGTTCTCCAACCATTGCAATTTTAGTAAATCCAAAAGAGTTACTTTTACAATCCTTAGCTGATATTACTTTTCCTGACCACCCAAATGCTTAACCATACCCCATTAGAGAGGGCTCAGCTACACAGGTAGACTAGGCAAGGCCAGGCCCTCTGGCATCAAAATCTGACATTACAGAATCATGAAGTTGGAAGGGGCAGAGAAGACCATCGAGTCCATGATTGACATGGGTGCCAACCAGGTTAAACACAGGGTGGACACCTTTCTGGCTGCTTCTGGCATTAATACTGCTATTGCCCTACTGAGCACACACCTCTTGAGTCTTCTCTGGGATTGCAGGGACCCTGGGGTACTCTATTAGTTGAAACAAGACCACTTTTATAGACAGATTGATGTAATAATAGATGCACGGTTCTCAAAATCTCAACCCTCCGGACTTGCTGGGGCTCCCTTTGAGAGAGGTTTGGGAATAAAAGTGAAAGATCCAATGAGAGAGCAGGTAACTTGTGGTTTTCCAGATCACATGGGATCACAACTGAAACTTAAGCGATGGTGAGGAATGATGGGAGGTGCAATCTTAACAACATACAGTCGTGCCCCGCTGGACGATTACCCCGCTGTAACACGAATCTGCATTACGTCGACACTTTGCAATCGCAAAATGATGTTTTAAATGGACACGAATCCGCATTACGTCGACACTTTTGCAATCGCAAAATGATGTTTTAAATGGGCGATTTTTGTTTGACGATGATCGGTTCCCTGCTTCAGGAACCGATTTTTCGCTTTACGATGATCAGCAAACAGCTGATCGTCAGGTTTCAAAATGGTCGCCGGCTTTCAAAATGGCCCCCCGCTGTTTTCTAGGACGGATTCCTCGCTATACAGGCACCGAAATGGGCACCATATGGAGGATCTTTGCTGCACGGTGAGTTTCAGAGGATCTTTGCTGCACAGTGAGTTTTTCAGCCCATTGGAACACACTGAACGGATTTTCAATGCGTTTCAATGGGATTTTTTCGTTTCGTTTGACGATGTTTTCGCTCTACAGCGATTTTGCTGGAACGAATTAACATCATCAAGCCAGGCACCACTGTATGTTGTAGAACTTTGGAAAGTTACTTTCAAGCAGTGGTGTAGTGAAGCTGGGGTTTTCAGGACCAATGCCCCCAGATTTTCTGAGTAACAGGGACTATGACATCATCTGCCATTCCCTCCACACCCGGGCTTCCCCTTTCCCTTAAGTATAATCCTCACAGTAGTTAGGAAGAAGACAATGTTGTTGCAAGTTATCTCTGTTGAAATGCAAAGTAGTTGGGGTAGGCTTGATCTTGAATGGGCAATTAACTTCTGTTAGCTTTACAGAAGACCTGCTTCACATTTGCTGATACGACATGATCCAGCGGCATTTTGTAGCCCTCTGTATGGGAAGGTGAGTACAAGAACTGTCAAGATCAGCAGCTGTGCTTACAAATGTACCACTACATCATGGCTTTTAAGAAGAATGAATAGGATGGCACGCTGAAGTCACCCACAACTGAGGAGAGATATGATGATGCTCTCAGATCCAGAGAATGGTTCATTCACAGATGGTTCCAGTATGCTGTTGTATTCATTCTCCTTCAAAATAACGTTCCAAGTTCTAAAAAGAAGGGCCGTCTTTTGCCAGCCTTTATATAAAGACATTAGGAAAACAGAAGAGACGCGTCTAAAGACTGCAGATCCAGAAATATGTGTGGAAGCACCATCATTTTATTGAACAGTTTTGTCATAGCATATGAACAACATGATCCAGGTGTTTAAAAAAAGGAAAAGCTCACATAGATCCTAAGAGGATCTTCTTACATTGTTGTATAACGAAGGCCAGTGGATTTCATTATAAGGGCTGATGCGGGTGTGTTGCGTCTGGAGTGCGTAAGGGAAGGAAGTCACATGAAGAGTTACAATATTCGGAGCCTCTTTCACCTCTCTGCAGTTCAGCAGTCTGTCCACAAGCCCCATGGCTGGATCTGACGACTGAGGATAAAGACTGTGAACAGCACTGGGGGAGAGAGAGAAAAGCCCAAATGCAAAAATTCAGTGGTTATCCATACACCTGTAGGGTAAAATGGGGGGGGGATATTCGTTAATTTTTATATTTTCCACATGCAGAAGACCTGAGAGACATCTTTTTTTTTAATAGACCTATTGGTCTTTTGAGGGCATCTGGGAAGGCCGTTCAAAGCAGGATATTTAGCATTTATGTAATTTATTTATTAAAAATATTTTTATCCCACCTTTCTCCTTTAAAAAAAAAAGAACTCAAGGCGGCTCTCAAAAGGTGGACTGTCTTTACTCCCTCCCTCCATTAACCATGTTAATGGTTAACATTAAAAATAAGCAATTCTTATTTTTAAGTACATGTTTATTATTTTTCAAATTTTTACTGTGTCCATCTAGCAGCCTGGCTACTGCTCTGGGCAGCGTACAATAACATGGAAATGAAATAAAATTCGATAATTTCCCCTTTCAAGAAATGATGAAATCCCCTCTTCTAGTGGTAAGAGCTTTAAACTAAAAAATATGCTGGTCAGACCCTATGGGGGAGAATGGCAAACAGGGCCCTTTGGCCCAGGGGGGTCACCAAAGATGAATGACCGCCATGCACTCAACAAACAAACAAACAAACAAACAAGCAAAACACAACATTTACCTGGCATTCTTTAAGCTTCCTTTTTTAAAAGCTCCTTTTCCCAAACATGGAGGGGAGGGCATCACCATGTGAAATGGTCTGGGGCTCCTTAGAAGGGCTTTCAGAAGACCTCCCCCTTTTTTGCCTTTGCCTCCACCCCTTCCTGGAATGCAGCCCTCGAGGAGCATGAAATGCCACGCTCCTCTTGGGATGGAGAGATGTTCCCTACCCCAACACAGGCACTGTATACAAATGTTATGCCACATTTTTCTGTGGAATGTTTTATGGCATATCCCCTTGGAAGCTTTCGATAGTCACAGACAAACAAACAAATACAGTGGTGCCTCGCTTAACGAGCGCCTCGCTGAGCGATGAAATCGCTTAACGAGGCGCTCTGGGCCATCGCTGGTGCATTGTCTGTGGAATGTTTTCTGGCATATCCCCTTGGAAGCTTTGGATAGTCACAGACAAACAAACAAATACTGTACACACTTTACTAGACTAGGCATCAAAACACAAATGGATTGGACAATAACGCTGATTTAATACAAAAATATGGTATTAGTGTGACTGTCTCCTGCTCAGGCGTATACAGAAGTGTACTGGCAGCGCATCTTTAAAAAGGGAACCTACGGAGACCAGTGATCTGACCAACTTCCAAATAATTGCAGGATCCATTACAATGGCACTTCATAACAACATCTGTGCTCCAAAAATCCCACATGTTCTGAAGAAGGATCCCATTCTTACCTCACAAGATCCCAGTGAGCGTGGTCATGGATCAGCACAAACAGCGTGTGTGGATTCTGCATGGCATTTTGTAAAAACGCTTTGAACTTATGCTGGGGGGCTTCGGCGTCAAGTTTTACGACATACTGCTCCACCCTCTGCTTCGTGAGGTGCTCCTTCTCCAAGCCAAGCTCTAACAAAACCCCTGAAGAACAACAACAGGGCATGTCACAACCGGTCAAAACCTAGGGGGTGGCTAGGGTGATGTTTTATATGTTTGCCTCAGCCTGCATGTACCTGAATGCCAGAGGTGGAAGAGTGTTTGCTGGTAGGTCACTTCTGAAGGAGGAACACATATGAGGAAATCCACTTTTTCAAAGGAGCCCAAGTCAAGATTTTGAGTGCTGGAGTCTGCAATGGAGCAAACATGAGAGAGCAACTTCTGAGCCACGGCCAGCTGGAAGGGACGGATCTGGTGCCGCTCGAGGTTATAACCTAGAGCAAGTAGAAGCAAAATGTGCCATGAGAGCCTTAATTGATGACTTGAGCTTTCTTTTAAAGTCTTCACACATTTAGCTCATCTTATTGTTTACACAGCATGTATGTATCACACTCTTGTGGCATGCCTCAGTTTGCTTCAGCTCTCTGCTTCCAGTCTGATATATAAGGGTTAATTGTTGTGGGGAATCCCACATAAATGATCCTGCTGGAAAGAGAACCTGACGGAAGTTACTAGAAGCATTGAACAGTTCAGTTGTTAGGCATATAGCTATCTTATTATCATTTTTTCACAAGATATGTAGCCTCACATCTTTTTTGGACATATTTGGTTGAAATTCTTCACAAACAGTGTAGAAACCTGAACCAGCTGATGGAAAAGGTCCCAAGTCTTCATATTTCCAAAACCATTCTTTCAGAAATTACACCCTCTGTTATTCTTCATATATGAATGAAGTTGGCTGAACTGTCTCATCCTTTTTTTGAAAAATGTCTAGGAATGCCAGTTTCAAAAGCTTGGCTTCACTTATAGCTACAGTCCTTTTTCTCCTGTACTCTGGTTCTTCATGAAAAGGATTATTTTCGTAATGACACTGACCTCCTGAGTCTGGCTTTTAAGATGATTTGGTATCTCAGAGTGTGATCAGATGGGCATTTGTTCTGCAGTTTGGTCCAGGCTGGGGATGGGTTGGTTCATATTTTTCCAGCGAACACATGATGTATTCGCAAAGGCTTTCATGGCTGGGATCTAATGGTTGTTGTGGGTTTTTCAGGCTCTTAGGCCGTGTTCTGAAGGTTGTTCTTCCTGACGTTGCACATGAACAGAGTTCCTACTCCAGTCCTCTTAAGATGCCGGCCACAGAGACTAGCGAAAAGTCAGGAAGAACAACCTTCAGAATACGGCCTAAGAGCCCGGAAAACCCACAAAAACCATTAGAACACATGATGTATCATCGTGAACCAGTCCGCCCTGATCAATGCATAACAACATCTTTTTTGGGTCCGTGACAGGGACTGCTGGTTTGCTTGTTTGTTTGGTGTGTGTGTGTGAACCATTAGAATTGCTTCACATTTCGTCTGGTTCCAGCATGTGTGATCACTAAGATGGAATGAAAGTGGCTGGCTAGCTGTCCTTTTGCTGAAGCTGCTTAAAAATTCTGAGAAATGGGAAGCTTTCTAGCTGCTTGGCTGTAGAGGGGGAGGGAAAGGAAGCTTTCCATTTCTCTTCAATTGTTGCTAACACATCCGTGATGCTTTGAAATGACTTTTTTTAAAGCCCTTTCAAAGAATCACTGATGTGCTGTGTCAGTTTGCAACAATTAAAAATAAATGGTGAGCAGAAAGGAAGCTTCTAGTTTTTCAAGATCGTTAACCCACTCAGGCAAAACACAGATAGGCGGGGGAATTTTGCTTTTTATTTGTAATTTCCCATTAAAGGTCAAGAAGACTGGCGGATGCAAGGATCATCCCAAACGGCATATCATATCCCAAACCTCTTGCTGGGATAACTGGGCTATCTAGTTGTACCCTCTGTTTTAGAACTCATCTCAAAAAAACCACTGGTCCATATTAGGTTGTGTTTGTTAACTTCTTCTTGAAGTTCCCTCTTTCTGTTTTTCTTGCTGACCTTGAGATTAACTTTTTTATTGGTCAATCAAAGGAAAACTATTAAAATGGTCGTTATAGGAAGGACTTCTTAACTGGCTCCTAGAAAAGATTTGCACGGAATTGTGAAAAGCAATTTATTCTTTTTAATGTTGGCTGAGTTTTCGTGCCTCATGCTGAGTTGCACACACTGGGCAAAGCAGAAATGGGGATGCAGTGACAGCCTATGTGGCCGGCCAGTTGGCCAGTTAACTGTAATGTGCACAGCAATATTTCTATTCTTTTAGAGTTGTTTTCATCCTTTGCCACCAGGTATTTATGAAAGAGAACAACAAAAGAAGCCACTTTGATTGTGTATATTGTGAGTGCTTTTAAAAAAAGTGAATGCTAATTTGGGGTAGGGTTTGTTTGTTCGTCCTGGACAACACTATATATTATCTCTTTCTTGTTTATTTATATATTTTATTTATTTATTTCATAAACTGTATACTACCCAATTAGGGCTAGTAACAAGCAACCAGTATTACTGCTCATGACAATAACAGCCGAAGAAACAAAGACCTATTGTGTCAGGCAACCAAACATGCTTTTTTTATTGCTAGCTAAACAGACAATACAACTGAAACAGAAATAGCATGACTCTAGTTCATAACACATAGGCCTAATATTTAAATCTTTAAGGGTTATGTTGCTATAGATGCTGCTTCTTTAAGGATCTTTTAAGTCATTAGAGTGATTGTAATCATGATCATTCCATTGGCAGACAGGGAAAGTCTTGAGTATTAAAAAAAACCAATAACCTATTAAAATTATATTTAAATAAAACAAATGGAAGCTATATGGGGGGCAAAAGTATATGTTTTCTTCCTTCTTTTAGTCTGCTCTATTTGTGGGGTCAGTTTTTCCATCATTCCAAATTGCCCCTTCACCTCCATATATACAGTTCATTCAAATCCTTCCATCTCGGAGCCATTCCCAGAAACCTAGTAATAAGCATTTAAAAAAAAAAATCAAGGTTTCACATTTCATTATTGTTTTAATATATTTTTTTCTCTTGTTGAAACAATGTGGCCTCCTCTGGGTCCTTTTTAGGAGAAAAATGAGATATAAATAAATAAATGTGACAGAATGTCATGTACTTTCAAAAAGAGTATCAATAGTTCTCCTCTTAGCTCAATGGTCTGGCTGCTTATTTTGGATAGTATGCTAATGACGTCATTCAAAAAGTCAAAGCCTTGGACTTATGTACCACATGTGAAGCAATCGGGCCTCTGGATAGCTCAGTGGTTTAGGTATGTGCTTGCGGAGTCAAGAGCTTGGGAGTTTGATTGCCCCATTGTGTCTCCTTGGCAGGGGCCAGGCTTGATGGTCCAGAGGGTCCCTTCCAGCTCTGGGGTTCTCAGATGATGATGATGATGATTGCACCCAGATACTTTCTGGCTGCCTCTTGCTAACCTGATCAAATACAGGTACCAACAACGGCAGGGCAAGTCTTCAATGAGCAGATCTTGGGAGAAATCTTCTAGATCACTGTCCCCCACCTTTTTGTTCTTTGATTTACCAGGGTTATCACTGTCCCCCACCTTTTTGACACCACAGACCAGTTTAGCGGGGGGGGGGAATCTATGCATGCGTGTATGCGTACATCTGTGCGGGGGGGCAGGCATCCATGACTGTATGTGGGGGGAGCACACATCTGTGCATGGGGGGGCAGGAGATCTGGGGTTTGGGGACCCCTGTTCTAGATTATGATAATGACTTGTTCACAAGTCTTCAGAGAGCCCTATTCTTAAATCACTCCTGTTCTTCTAAACAGCTACCATTCTTTAAACAGATACTATCATTATCAGATAAACTATGAATTAAAAAAAAAACCCCAAAAGCATTGTATAGGAGAGGAAGCGTGCCTCATAGGGTGCACCCGTCTGTCCCATCATGGCTATGAGGACATGGTACCAAGAGTTATAAATGCAAAGATAATTTTTTCCAAAGTTCCGATTCGGTAGAGCCATCACTTACTTGTACACACAGCAGCTCCAGCGACATCCAAGGTTGCTGGCTTGTTCACGGGCACAGAGAGAGATGACGACATGTGAGCTTGATTTTCTTGATAAAATTTCTCCAACAAAATATCTGTGTCACCGTCTAGAGCAAAAAAAGGAAAGAAGTTAGACCATGGAATGTACACTTCTAGAATCTTCAAGCCACCGTCAAGCCAAGAACCCCGAATTCACATTGAAGCACTTTTTCAAGGCCTCCCTACGGAGACCCGATAATTTTTAAAGGAAGCGGGTGGAGCCCCATCATGGGCACTTTCGCATAGCACGACACCTGGGAATTCGAAACTGCTCATTGCTGTGGGAGCAGCTAAATAGATAATAAATCTTTCCTCCATAGTTGTCTAGCATGGCATCCACACCTGGCTAGAACAAGCTGTCTGGCTTTTTTTTCCTCCCACAGGTGAATTTTACAATAATGCAGAGGTTATTTCCCTGGCATTTTGCAATAAGATGCCATTTCACAGAACCCTGACTTGCCACAATGTGCAAACTGGGATATCACTTGCAAACAGTGCTGTTTCTTGGAGGGAGATGAAGGATTAATTTGGGTAGGAGAGAATCCTACACTTTCTGTTATAGGTTAAGACCGGCATTTGAATTGTGCCAGAAACGGATTAGCAGCCAGTGGACAACGGGGGGGGGGGGATCATGTGATCCCTGTAACCAGACCCAGTTAACAAGCTGGCTGCAGCATTTTGGACCCTTTGGAGTTTCTGAGCACTTTCCAAAGGCAGGCCCTACATAGAGCACATCACAGTAATCCAAATGAGATGTAACTTAGGGCTTGTGTCCCCATGGCCAGATCAGATCTCTCAAGGAACAGGTGCAGCGGGCGCATTAATTTTAACTGTGCAAAGGCACTCCTGGCCGCTGCTGAAACCTGGGCATCCAGGCTCAGAGATGAATCCAGGAGCAGCCCCCAAGCTGCATGACAGTGTTTTGAGAGGGACTGTAACCTCATCCAGCACAACCTGCCACCTTATTCCTTGATCTGGTTTTCGACTGGCCAGGAGCACCTCTGTCTTGTCTGGATTGTTTCAGTTTATTTGGCCTCATTCAGTCTATTACTGACACCAGACAATGATTTAGAACTGAGACAGCATCCTTGGATTTAGATGGAAAAGAGCGACAGAGTTGGGTGTCGTCTACATACTGGTGACACCGAACCCCAAAACCCTGGATGACCTCTCCCAGCAGTTTCATGTATATGTTAAATAGCACAGGGGACAAAACAGAACCCTAAGGGACACCACAGGCCAATAGTCAGGTTGTCAAATAAGAGCCCCCCAGCACCACCTTCCAAGTTCTCCCATCCAGGAAGGACCGGATACAAAACAGTACCTTCAAATCCCATCCCAGAGAAACGGTTTAGAAGGATACCATGCCCGATGGCATCGAAAGCTGCTAAGTTGGCCTTAACCCTGTAATGATGATCCTGTGTTGTATCAGGTGAGCAGCAGATATGTCTTTGTTTGACGCCAAGAAGAAATGGGAATTTTCCAAACATGTCTATTTTGTAAAGTCCAACTAATGCACAGCAGACTACCACCAGGCTTTTTTGATGATGGATAACATGCTTTGTGGTAACTGCTCACAGATGGGATACATTTGTGGTGGTAAACATTTCTATCAGCTTTATGCTCCTGGACATTATTTCCATCTTGGACTGTGTGGAGAGGAGGGGATACAAACATCCCTTTCCAACAGCACAATATGGAAAAGACCACAATTTCTATTTTGCTATGGCCAAACTGGTTCTTGCCAGAGCATTCTGGTGGTGGCTGCGTTGAGGCCTGCATCCAGTCCTGCTGTCCCAAAAGAGACATCGGGTTTTTTTGATAACACAGAGAGATTTATTAAGTCAAGAGAACTGGGTCTATTTATTCTCCAGGAAGAATAACAAACTTAAACTGTACTGACTGATCTGCTGTTGCTACAGCTTAAGCTAGTGAGCAGAGCAGAAACAGGCTATTGGCAGTAAGCTGCTAGACTTCAAGTCCAATAAATAAACAGACTCTCTAAACATAGTCTGTGTCAGCGGTTCCCATCCTTGGGTCCCCAGATGTTCTTAGACTAAAACTCTCAGAAGCCTTCACCACTAGCTGCATTGGATGGGATTTCTGGGAGTTGTAGTTCACAAATGTCTGGGGATCCAAGGTGTGGAGCCATTGCTGTGTGTCAAACCACTTACAACCCAGCACCATCTGGACGTTTTGGACTGGAGCTCCCATCAACTCCAGCCAGCTCAATCAAAGACTGAGAACGTGTAGAGTTGTAATACAAAACATCTGGAAGGTGCTAGGTTGGGGGAAACCAACTGGTGCTCTTAGCAAGGATAGCATACCTGGGCAGAGAGAACTGAAGAAGGCCCCCAAAGCCTCTGCTTTGCCAGTAACAAGTTCATAACTAACTTCCTTGTGGTACTCCGCAGGTGTGAGCATGCTTTCAGACAAGATTCTTGCTTGGTACTTCCCTAAAAGATACCCAAAAAAAGGCAGGGAGGGAGGGGATGTTATGTGCAATTCAATTCACATGTAATCATGACACAAATAAATCTAAACGCTGATTAAGATTTCAATAAGCCCAAGGGTACGATCTAAAGGCACAGGGGACTCTGAGGTAAAGCAGGCCTAGAACCAGTCTGTACAGTATTTGGAAAGGAGACTATCTGGGACAACCTTACATGAGCTGCAGAGTTTCCTCAAAAACAGGCAGAGATGCTCTCTCTCTCTCTCTCTCTGAGGTAAAGCAGGCATAGAACCAGTCTGCATCTGGAAAGGAGACTGTCTCAGACAACCTCAAAGGCCCCACTAGGGGTAAATTTAATTCATTCATTCATTCAAAGCAGAATACTGAGGAGAGCCACCAAATGCAACCATTCCGACTGCAATTTCACGTTAAAGCACATTACTTTTCATGGAAGAGTATAGAATTCATAATATTGCTCCACTATACTCTGCTTTACTCTCTTGAGGTGTTTAACTGCTTCTGAATAAGACCAGATACTTAATTCCCTTCAGAAATAAACTCAGAAAGCCCACCTTCAGTGGAATCTAAGGAACAAGAAATAAAACTCATTCACCCCACATTTAAATGCTGTATCAACAGCGGGGTGTTTTTCCTTCCTATAGCTTGGCCTCTTTTCTCTTAAAGCTCACCATACCCAATAACAGTGCTCAGGGCAATAAAGCAGGTGACTGAATATGTGAACAGAGGAAAATGTGATCTGAAGATTGAACTAGTATTACAAACTAAATAGGTAGATGTTCAGGCATCTTCAGCTGTGAGGGTAAGGAAAGGATGATTATGGTGGAGATGACAGATTCCCCTCCCCAGTTCAATGAGTCCTATTATTCCAACAGCAAAAACCCAGCATTGGTTACTCTCCAGGATTTTTTATATGAGTGCATCCAATCTCTGAAGAAAGCCTTTTATAAACACACTGAAAAATGAGTTTAAATAATTTTACCCACTAGCTTGTTAACAGGTCCAGGGCAAAAGGCCTCCGAGTCACTCAAGAATGAAAATCCCAGAACGTCCCATGTTCTCCCTTGTAGCTCACCTGTGACAGCAATGCAAGAGTCAATGGTTCTGTTCCTACAGGCACAGATGATCACCACATAGTTGGTCTTCACTAGCTTTCCCTCCATGAGCATCTTAAACATTTCTGAGAGCCCCTCAGCTAAGGAATAGCTGCACTCAATGATGTGAACACTGTCATTACATGAGCTGGCTGCCAGTCCGGCGAGCCAAGGAAGCTGAGCTGACGTGACGGGGGCAATGGGGCCAGGAACCTGCGGGAAAGCTTGCGGGATGGCCTGCTGGCACTGCCGAATTTCAGACAGGTGAGATTCCCTCCAGGAGCGCATGAAGATCTGCTCCAAGTCCTCAATCAAAGGCACCTGGTCGGAAGCTGTGGAAACATCAAAATGGCATCAAAGGTAACAGTGAATCTGTTTACAAAAGCAGTCCATTTTCTGGTGAGCATGGCAGCTATATCAAATATATCCCAAACATCTGATTTGTTTGACTTCAACACTGGGTACGCCGTAAATCAGCCTTCCCTAACTTGGTGCCTCCTCTGTCTTGGTCGCAATAAAACTCACATTGTCTTTAGACAGCATGGTCAAGGATGGGAGTCGTAGTGAAACATAAGCACCAGGTTGGAGAAGAGTGTCACTGACTGCCTTTTTGTTTTTAAATTACACCCTCTATAGCTGAAGGAATACTTTACCTAATTGCTTCTTTCTTTCTTTCTTTGGCCAAATGATACAAGAGCTAAAAAATTCTGCAAAGTGAGAAAACCGTCCGCAAATCAAGACCCCTATAGTCCTTTATTGATTTCTTTATAATATTTTAGAGTATAATATTTTAGAGTATAATATTTTTGAGGGAAGGGACGTGGTGGCGCTGTGGGCTAAACCGCAGAAGCCTGTGCTGCAGGATCAGAAGACCAAGTAGTCGTACGATCGAATCCACGCAACGGAGTGAGCACCCGTCGCTTGTCCCAGCTCCCGCCAACCTAGCGGTTCGAAAGCGTGCAAATGCAAGTAGATAAATAGGTACCATCTCGGTGGGACGGTAAACAGCGTTCCGTGTCTAAATCACACTGGCCATGTGACCACGGAAAGATTGTCTTCGGACAAACGCTGGCTCTATGGCTTGAAGAGCGGGATGAGCGCCGCCCCCTAGAGTCGGACACGACTGGCCAAAAATTGTCAAGGGGAACCTTTACCTTTACCTTTTTATTTTTGAGGGAAGCGCTTATAAAACAGGTAGCCCATAAAAAACAGTCAGCCCCCAGAGATTATTTGGTACCTCAAGAATCCCAATGTTCAAATAAAAGTGATATTTCTAGTCCATACGGCAGTGGATAACACAGCAAGCATGTAAGAAAGTAAAGGTAGAGGTTCCCTTTGACATTTAGTCCAGTCGTGTCCGACTCTAGGGTACGGTGCTCATCCCCGTTTCCAAGCCGTAGAGCCAGCCTTTGTCCAAAGACAGTTTCTGTGGTCATGTGGCCAGTGTGACTAGACACGGAATGCTGTTACTTTCCCACTGTGGTGATACCTATTTATCTACTCGCATTTACATGCTTTCGAACTGTTAGGTTGGCGGGAGCTGGGACAAGCGACGGGCACTCACTCCGTCGCATGGATTTGATCTTACGACTGCTGACCTTCTGACCCTGCAGCACAGAGGCTTCTGCGATTTAACCCGCAGCGCCACCACGTCCCTATATGTACAAGCATGTACTGCACATAAAATGCATAAACACATTTAAATCTACATTTTGGAGGCAAACTCTGCATGTCATTCCACATTTACCTTTACAATTTCATAGGGACATATCTGATGCCACCATAATGAAAATTGCACTGACCACCTCAAAGCCAGGAAACATGTGGTCCTTCCAGGTGTTGCTGGACTCTAGCTCTGATCATTGCTCGTCATTGGCTGTACTGGTTACGGCGGATGGGAGTTACTGTCCTACAACATCTGCAAGGCTACCTGTTTCCTCACTATGGATCTACCAACTCTGGGCAGTTTCATGGTATTACTGCATAATGAATGCCACACATTAATTACATTAACAATAATCACATGCTGTCATGTCATTTCTGACTTATGGTGACCCTTTTTCAGACCCTTTTCCAGGTAGAGAGTCCTCAGAAGTGGTTTCCCTTTCCCTTCTTCTGGGGGTGCCCTGAGACTGTGCGGCTTTGGCCCAAGGCCACCCAGGCTGGCTCTACTCACAGAAGGCGCTATGAGGAATCCCAACTCCCAACCTCTGGCTCCACAGCCAGATAACTAACTCACCGAGCTATCCAGATAGCTCATTAATTATATCAATGGCATACAAAGCTAATACAGCATACCAACTCACATGCTACACAATGCTTTTTTTAAAAAGTGGGATATACTGCCCAGGAGTGAATTTGCTTCTTGACAGTACTTGTCTACTCAGCCCAGTTCAGTTGACTCAAGCTTAGTCCTAGGTAACTTTTTTCCAAGCTGTGCCTAGGAAACGCAAAGGTGACAATCTTCCCTCCTTCACCCAGGGTTTCACAACAAAACATTTAAAACCTCTACTTCTAACACAATTGTTGTTTATGTTCTGGCTCTTGAATGTAGGGCTAAGTTGTGGTTTAGCTTTATGTGTAAACGCAACCAGCCCATCAACAAACTATGTTTCGCACTCTCACAAATCCCGCCCTCTTTTTTCCACTGACCATTTTGTACATTTGCCAATTCACACCCAAGTCATTTAAGATGTGATGTCCACTGAGGAAGGGGAAACTCACCGAGTTGAACAAGATAATAGACAGTTAGCAAGAGTTGCATTTCCTCTGAAATTGGCTGTATTGTGGAGGCTCCGTATTGTTCATAAGCCCTAGACAGAGACTGGGCATTCTTGTAACAAGTATATAAGAGAGGGCTCACTATAACGTCATTAAGGTTCCCACAAAGATAAGGGAAGTTTCCATGCCCTGTGAAACAAGCACAACATGCTGACTCCGATAGTAAGTAAACACCTTTAAAACAGTGTCTCCTCCGCCCCCCCCGCCGCCCTTGTACTAGTTCTGTAGATTATGTTACCTTTAAATATGACAGGCTTTGCTTTATATATTTTAAGCAAGTTGTCAGGAATGGAAACAGGTTCTCCTGTGGCCACTGCAGGAGAAGACGCTGGTCCTACCAAGGAACCGTGAGGTAAACAGGACAAGCCGCCGCCGCCTCCATCTATGAATCAATTCAGAGAGATCAACCAGAAGTCAGTGATTGCAACAAAGACATAAAACTGGAAAAACAAACATGTATCAGGGTACTTCTGCTTTCCAATAATGTGTATAATAGAAAGAGGCAATGATCAGAGCTTGGAAAGGGGGAAAAATAAATCAGTCCAGCTGAAGGATTTGGGGTGACATTTCAACCAAGTCACTTCCCATGTTTGGCCCCAAATCCTGATGGTTCTTGTCAATAAAGTACTTTGTCTTGCTGTTGCTTCTGGCCAGGGATGGGAAATGTTTCTTGTTTGGAGTACAGCTCCCAGAATCCCACAGCCAACACGGCCGCTACAGTCCTAATGGTCCAGGTGTAGTCCATTTTTTCTTCTGACACTAAGACTTCTGCTATTTCTCCCTCGTTCCTGCTGCCACCATGTTCCTCCTGGCCCCCTCCCTCCCGTCTCAGTGCACATTTTCTCCTGCCCACCTTATGGCAGAACAGGTGAGGAGTCCCCAGCTGGAGGCACTGGCTTCACGCTCTGCCTGCTTCAACACAAGGGCATTATTACCCATGGGTCACTTTTCTATTGACCTATACACGAGCCACACTGGCTCTCTGGGGAAGTTTCATTGGATCTGCAAGTCTCACGCCAAATGTGACCCTCAAGTGGTTTCCAGATAGAAAAGTGATTTAACAAATCTTATAAAACTTTAGAAACGGCACTGAAATAAAAAGAAATAAACTGTTGTTAATTCAGAAAACTGTATAATTATTCAACTGTGGTCTAAGAAAGTGAAATCATTTAAGTATGGTCACATTTTCTTCTTTCTGTCTTGAAGTCATACAGAATTATTCAGAGCCAGGGAGGGCAAGTTCCAGGGTCTTATTGGTTCCATCAACTTGCAGGGAGCTGCCCACACCCCCATCATCATCCCCAAATGTTTGTTGTCCCTTCCTCTCACTACCACACACACAAAAAATAAATACTTTACCTTAAAGAGTGTCATCTGTCCTTCAGAGGGCATGTTCAAGCATGCATGTTCTCTGCACACTTCATTTATAACCAGACTAGCACATGCAGAAGGCTTCCGGGAACATTCACCCAGCTGGAAGCCAATTGCATGGGGACTGTGCTCCTTGTGCTCAAGACAAATTGTTTTCTTAAAGGACTGAGTGATGCTTTCTTTGCTGAGATAATAAGTATCCTGCGTGTTTTTATAGTACTGAGTACCAGTGGGAAGGGAGCTTTTAGAATCTAAAGGGATTCTCCTTACCCAGTAACTCTATTGGTAAAGTTCTTTTGCCCGCTCATGACTCGCTCCCCCTTCTTGTGTGTTTGCTTTGCTTCCTTTGTTTCTTAGTCATTATCTCTCCTTTCCTGACCTCCCCTCCCCCAGCAAGCAGGAAGCATGGAGGGGCCTCTCCCATGTGTAGAAACTCCATTTTTCCTATTTTTGTGCTGACTGTAACTACAGACAGCAGCTGTAAGTAAATACATATGTTTTTTTTTCCGCCGAAAATGCTGGGACAACGATTTTTAGCACATAAAGTGCTAGTCATTGTGAAAGGGGGCGGGCTACTGAGACTTAAACTATTCTCTCATGCTTTCTCTATGCCATCCCTGTTTGTACCTGATACTCTGATAACTATAAAAGGAATTAACAACATTCTCCAATATTCTCCTCTCATTTTAGCTCAGTCAAGGTAGAAAGAACGAGGTGAGGGGTGAAAAACAGAACAAGGGGCACGTGCAGCCCAAGGTCCACATGTTACCTACACCTCCTTCAGTCCGCCAGCTTACAAGCAGAAGTCATATGACAAGAGTTCACCTATGTAAATACATTGTTTTAAAAAAGAAGAAATTCTCACTTACCACTTTTATTTCTGTTTGCGATTTGAGGGTTGGGCTGCAAATTCCAGGCTTCATTGGATGATGGAGACTCTGGCGACCATCCCTTGTGCCGTTTTTTAGGTGGCCCTGGGTTTGTTAAAGTGCCTAAAGTAACATTAAGAAGTTTCTATTTTAAAATGACACTTATTTCCTTTATAAAAGCACACATCTGACCACTTCATGCTTTCCATAGGAAATTTCCTTTCCATAGGGACAAGATGATACAGTATACAGAAATGGTGCCCATATACTAAAAACACTACAGCCCCTCAATATATGAAAACATCATTTTACAAAGAGTTAAACAACGTACTGTGTACCAACATCGAAAACTGGCCGAGACAATGCATTGTGCCTTGAGTACAGGTAGACACAGACATCCCAACTTGGATCCCTCCAGGTGGGCGTCGTGGCTAGGGATGATGGGAGCTGTTGTTCAATCCATTGGCCATATTAGCCATTACAAGGAAGAACGTGATGTGGGGCTGCTATCGCTAGCAGAATTACTGACACAATTAATTCTCTCTAGTTCTGCAGAATGATAAACTGAGGAAAGCAACATAACCCAGACTGCAGCCTGGGTGTGTGTGTGTGTTTTTGCATTCGTTGCCTGTGGCACAGTCATAGGACCTGCCCTCTACTTTAGCAAGGGCAACTGCTTCTAATTGTAGCAGCAGCAACAGCAGCAGTATGCCGCATTTCACCCAACAAGGGACCCAAGGCGGCTCACAGCATTAAAACCCACGCAATAAGTTAAATATTAAAAGTCAAATTAAGCAATATATAATTTAAAATAAAATTAGTGAATAATAAAATAAAATTAGTGAATAATAAAAAATAGTAGTAGTAGTACCCTGTTTCCCCTAAAATAAGACCTAGCCTGAAAATAAGCCTTAGTATGATTTTTCAGGATGCTTGTAATATAAGCCCTACCCCAAAAATAAGCTCCGGTCAAGTGAAATCCCTCCCTCCACCCTTGTGCAGCAACCAGAAGAGGATGACATGACAATTTCAAGAAATGTCGATTGTTATACATGAAATAAAATAAAAACATCTCCTGAAAATAAGCACTAATGCACTTTTTGGAGCAAAAATTAATATAAACCCTGTCCTATTTTCGGGGAAACAGGGGGGGGGTGGTGGTGGTGGTGGTGGTAGTAGTAGTAGTAGTAGCAGTAGTAGTAGTAGTGAATCTACATTAATCAGGACTAAGCAATGGATTTCACCTGTAGATGAAAGCTTCCTGAGGTGGCTTTCTTTGTCAAAGAAGATATAACATCTTCTTGCATGCTAAATTCATGTCTAAGCACCACTGTCCCTCTAAGGCAGTGGTCCTCAACCTTGGGCCTCCATATGTTCTTGGACTTCAACTCCCAGAAATCCTGACCAGCAGAGGTGGAGGTGAAGGCTTCTGGGAGTTGTAGTCCAAGAACATCTGGAGGCCCAAGGTTGAGGACCCCTGCTCTAAGGGAAAAGTTGCAATATTACCTGAAGCAGGACCAAGATTTATTTTCCTAACTCTGCCACATGATGGCAGCACACAATCATGTTCTGCTACCCATCCAGTGCAATTCATTTCTCTCTCTCAAGCAAATCCACAGGAAGAAACTCCGCATGCATGCACGCACTCACACTTCTAAATAAAATGCTAGTACTCTCAACAATCTCAAGATGATCTATATAAAAACAACACAAAATTGCAAAATACCTTATAGCTGGGTTGTTTTTTTAAATGGTCACAACTGAATTCCAAATAAACAAGGGTTTTAATTAAGCACAGATGGCCCTAGTTGAAAAGATATATAATGAACTACTTCACCAGGACCCTTTGCTGAAGATTGCGCCCTGGTGTTTATTGTTCCCTGCCTGTACTACGAGCAAGGGAACTTTGATTCCTAGTTCTGTGTTCTCTGCTCACAGGACAGGTACAACACAAACCAAGTCAGACTCAAGAGAGTGGGAGATTCCATTCGGCTTGGTCCAACATGTGGAAATGTTTTTTATGCAATTCTCAAAGCTAACAGAGAGTTCTGATCTCTGGCAACCCAGAAGTCAGAATGAGTTGGATCCAGACTTAGCCATATTTAGAGAAGGTCCACTGAATTAATGGGAATTAAGTTAGTTGTAAGTCCCACTGATTTCAGTAGGTCTTCCCTAACTCATCCAGTGCCATTCATCACAAAGCAAGAGTGACTTAAAAAGGGAGAACTACGCAGCTGATCATCAAATCTTAAATACACACACATAGTAGTGAAGTCTCATCAGTTTTGATGGAATTGACGCACCAGCTGTTTTCACATATTTAAACACTGTACATACTGCATCCTCTGTAATAATTCTTCCTGTATTGCATACAATGAAATCAGAGTAATTGTACGTTTTATTAGTAAGCACTTACATGCTGTTTCCTTTTATAAAATATTTTCCAAGGTGGATTATAATAAAAGGGGGAAAGGCACAAAAAAAGTACAAGAGACTTGATCAATCAAATCTAAGCAACACATAAATGAGGCTAAATTATTTAAGAGTTAATTTGCAACTGAAGCCTGAATGCATTGCTCAGTAGCTATCTTTTCTAGAGTTTTGAAGCAAGCGACGTGATACTGTTTTGCTATCCTGTATGATATTTCCAAACTGAATTTTTAATGTATGCTTTTGATAATATATGATTTAAAATAAAATTAATGTATGATTTTAAAAAATAAGTGCCAAACGTTCTTCCATAGTGACAGCATTGCATAGGAATTTTCTGAAGACGTCTTCATTCCGTCTTACTACTAACCCCGTAAAGTTTTTTTGTAATATGATGTTGTTTTCATTACACTGATTCAATTCTTTTGCCTTTCACATTTTATGGAAGGATGCCTTGAGAGGGACTACCCTAAAATGTGGGATAGAAAAATACTAAGGGAGAGAGAGAGAGAGAGAGAGAGAGAGAGAGAGAACCAAACAAGATACCTAATACAGATGGTCTTGTCATGGAAGATGCACCACTTTTCACTGTGTGTTGCTGGGGAGAGTCTTTGCCATTGTAAACTGGGTGGCACACGGTTGAGGAGAGATGCTCAGGAGCTGTATCAAAGAGGAGAAGAAATAAGAACGCTATTTCACTGATGCTACTGTATAGCTTACTGGACGGGACATGGTGGGTTCAGGTCTGCTTTCAGAGTTATTTTCAGGATGTGACAGAACCTTTCCATTGAATTCTCTAGAACTATTCCTTTAACAACCATCTGTTGATCCAGGTACTATGGGACATGGCGGGTTCAAGTCTGCTTTCAGAGTTATTTTCAGGATATTTTTAACAACCATCTGTTGATCCAGGTACTATTGTCAAAACTACCGATATTAGTTCAAGGCCTCTAATAAATGTGAGGTCTGTTGCTGAGTCCAAGGTAATTGCCTAAAAGAAAAATAAGATTGACTGTTCCACAAACACTTGAATTTGAACTCATAATACAGAGCAGGACCAAAAAGCAACACTCAGTGATCGTTACAAAGAACAGCCGAACAGAACGGCCTGACTCTTGTTGAGCTGCTTGGTACTTCCTCCAAATGTTTTACATTAAGTTATGCCTTTTAGGCCAAAGTGTGTCCCTGAATGGTTCTATGAACATCAGTACCTTGTATAATGGGGCCATTAGGTTGTCCCAACAATGGGACAAGGGCATCTTCCCTCATGTTTCCTGTGCAAGAGGGCAAATGTACTACCTTTAATTGTACACTTGCATTTGACAAAATGAACTCAGTCCATTGAGCTCTTTCAGATACAGAGGTATCTCAGAGACTCCTGGCCCTGTACATTATAAACGCTCATGTTGGAAGGCAATGAGCTCTTTCAGATACAGAGGTTCACCATCTTTGTATCTCAGAGACTCCTGGCCCTGTACATTGTGGTGAAGTCAGTGGACCCTTGAGGAGAGCAGGAGCACCAGCAAAAATAATGCTCTATTCTCTATTTCATTGTATCAGTGTGGAGCTTCCTCATTTGGGTTGATGCCATCTACTGTGCTGTTGGGTGCTTGCCAAGTTGCTTCTGACGTGACAAATCAGAGTGTTGCTGTGACCCTCTAAATTAAGGGCGTCCACCAAGTCCCATCATTAATAATAACCCCTGCTCAAGGTTTCCCAACTAAAGAACATGCCTTCCTTTACTGAGCCAACCCATCTCATTTTCAGAAAATCTGAACCATTGCTGTTTCTTCCTTTGCAACATTAAAGTTACATAATTCTTCTGCAGCTTTTCCCCCCAGCTTTCAGCAACAGTGGTAGTAGTGGTGGAGGAGGAGGCCCAGAGTGGGTAAGGGAGGAGTTGGGGCCCACTTTCTTCAGGAAGGGGAACAAAACATCAGTGATGAAAAAGGTTTGGTGCTTTGTCTGTGTGATTGAGAAACCTGGTCTGTAACCCTTCATACAGTTGTGCCTCGCTTTACGATTGTCCCATATTACGACGAATCCACTTTATGACGATCTTTTTGCGATCGCAAAACGATGGTCTAAATGAGGGAATTTTGCTTTGTGATGATCGGTTCCTTGCTTCAGGAACTGATTCTTCGCAAAACGATGATTTTTAAACAGCTGATCGGCAGTTTCAAAATGGCCACCGGGTAACCAAAATGGCTCCCCGCTTTGTTTAGGGACGGATTCCTCGCTATACAGGCAGCGAAAATGGCCGCCGTATGGAGGATCTTTGCTGGACGGTGAGTTTTAAGCCCACTGGAATGCATTGAAAGGTTTTCAATGCGTTTCAATTGGGTTTTTATTTTCGCTTTATGATGTTTTCGCTTAACGGCCATTTTCCTGGAATGGATTATCGCCGTTAAGTGAGGCACCACTGTATTTGTGTCTGACTCAATGTGGATTACATTGCACCTTCAGCCGTTCCTAGTAAACATGGGAAAGTCAGGAGCAGGGCTTTGAATTTTTATTTTGTATTTTTTTAACTAAGAGACTCAGACTCCCCAGCTAGCATGGGTACCAGCCATCCTGGCTTAAGAATTCTGCGTCCATAGACAAAGGAGCAGCACGCCCCAACTTGGACTGTGGATGGAAGGGGATGCGTCCTCATTCCACCACAGGTGGCACAGTTACTAAAAGCTTGAACAGTGCGATGTTTCAACTCCATGACAGCAATTCGTTCATTTGCAGCTCCTTGTTAGTGTCCAAAAGGGAAACGGCTGTTGTCCGATTCAGAGGACATAGTCTTTAGACTGGCAAGAGGAAAATCTCCAAGAAGTCAGACCATTTTTCCTTGCTAAGTGTACTTAATGTATTTGCTTTTTTTAACACAAAGAGGTTAAAAAGCAGCAATCTGGGGGGCCACTTGTGCTCATGATGCAGCACAACATCTCTGATGTGCTTTCACATTCCCAGTCTTCTAAACAAATCAGAGCGAAATGCCCATATCCACCCCTTGCTGTTTGGTATGCCCAAAAAGAAAGAAAAGTTGTGACAAGAAAAGAAAAATATGACTTAATATTTACCCATCGGATGAACCCCAGCTTGAACAACTGGAGGGGTTGCTAGAACAGGCTCATTGGTGACCGTAGCTGAGGAACTTGTGTTCTCTGGAGGCTGGAACAAGGAGCTGGAACCAGTGCTGGATAAAGACTGCCGGCTTCTGAACTCTACAAAAGCAAGATGCTCTTTGTCCAGTGACAGCTGTGCACACTGCTGTCTGCACACTTTCTGCTTAATGGTGGAACGTTTGCATTTTCATTACAGACAGAAACACATGCATTGTTACTACCAAGGGAGAAACCATGCCTTTTTAATGTTGGAAGCAGGAATAATCCCCTGATGCTGAAAGGTGAGCGGTTCCAGGCTGATAAAAGGAAGCATTTTTCCCACACAGAGCACTAACAGTAGACTGTAGAACTCACTGCCACAAGATATACTGATATGTTGCCCACTTGGACAGATTTTAAAAAATGATTTGACAAATTCATGGAGGTTAGGACTACCAGTAGCTACTAGCAAGGATGGCTATATCACCTCCAGCATTGGAGGCTGAGTGCCTCCCATACATCAGTTTCTGGGAAATGCAAGATGACTGTGTTGCCCACTTGGACAGATTTAAAAAATGATTTGACAAATCCATGGAGGTTAGGACTACCAGTAGCTACTAGTGAGGATGGCTATATCACCTCCAGCATTAGAGGCTGAGTGCCTCCGTACATCAGTTTCTGGGAAATGCAAGATGACGCATGCAGTTGACTCATGTCTTGTTGGCAGGCTTCCCGTAGGGAATGCTGGGCAATTCCAGCCTTTGGCCCGGTCCAGAATGGCTTTCTTTACATTCTGATTTATATCATACAATGATATACATATCCATCCATCCATGTGCTTGCACTTATTTCTAAGCATCCCACCCTTTCTCCAAAGGTTTCAGAACATCTACAGCAATTCAAGGGCTGAAACCCTACTGCACTGCTACACCTGTCGGAGGATGATTGCCCCTCAATTTAAGAAATATCTGTAGACATTATTTGTTGTACATCAAGCTGAGGAACTCAGGTTGCAACTAGAGATGGGGGTATTCGTATTTGTATATGAATTTCCACACACAGCTGGACTTAACAATGGTCCATTCATGCATCCGACGGTGGTGGCGGGCCCGGGTCATCCTTTCAATCGCTCCTGGAGCACCGCTCTCTTCCCGCTCAGCTGGCCACTCAGCCGCCGTCGACGCATCCTCCCTCCCCCTGCCCGGAGTGGCGACCGAAAATGGCTTCCCCTATGGAGGATCTTCGCTGGACGATGAGGTATTTCGCCCATTGGAACGCATTGAACCATTTTCAATGCATTTCAATGGGTTTTTTCTTTCGCTTGACGATATCGCTTAACAGCGATTTTAAGGGAACAGATTATCATCGTCAAGCAGGTTATCGTCGTCAATCTAGGCGACCGCTTTACAGTAGATACATACTTCTAAATTCTATTGTACACTTAAAAGAATGTTCTGTGACCGGCCAGCATCTCAGGATTTATGAAGAGCCACAGATCTTGCTTGCAACTAAACTTTCCTGAGGAACTGTAAAGCTCTTCGCCATCTTACCTGACGCCTTCCAGCAGATTGCAGACCCTTTAGTGAGGGCTCCCTGCGCATTCCTGACCAAATAATACTTTAAGTGTTTCTGTTTCTTGGGCTGAGTGGTCAGCTTAAGATTGATGTGATTGGAAAACTCAGTAAAGTAGCAGAAACCTTTCTTGCCACAGCCGATACAATTGCCAGAGAAACCTGATGAAATAAACAATACACAAAGATGGAGAAAGATAAGGGAAACAGCACAGATCATAGCACTCCACCCTTTTCAAGTGGCTCTTTAAAATGCACGTAGTGCAATCTCCCCACCCCCCCACGTCTCAGGCCATACATTCACAAAAAGGCACATAAATGTCACTAGGAGCTCAGCTTTTTTCTAAACAGAAGTCTGTGTTTAATAATTGCTCGTCTCTTCAATGACTCATTTTAATGGCATCTTAAAGATGGATGGAAATCCCATTTCTCTTTGTTAACACTGCCAGACAGACAGATCAATAAAATGATCGAAAGGGGAAAGAGTGACAAATTGATACCACGGCACGATCAAGCGTGGTGACACATTTTTAGATTTCAGCAGTGGGGACGGGAATAATCTTGTGGAAGGTCTAGCCACAAGATTTGGCTTCAAGGGCACTAACAGCTGTTGTTTCTCACACATTTGAATGATGGGTCGGAAGGTGTATTCAACCCATGATATGAATTCACATAAGCCAACTCAGAATCTGGAGACTGTGAGAATTTCCTTACAGTTGCTTCTTGATAAGAAGTTACCAACCTTAGCAACTTGTTTTTAACCTTTAACATGGAAGGAAGTTGAGGTTTTAAAAAACTGAATGCAGGTGCAATTAAAACTAACAGATTCTCCTAACCAGATCCAATGCTTATGTTTAAGTGTTAAAACTACAAGCATGAATCTTTCTGTACCGAGCCACTTGACAGCCAAATTAAGAGCCAAAACCTCTAGTTTTTCTGACAGCATTCTCACTTTAAACATCTATATGGCAGGCAAAAACCGTCTGGTCCCGACCACACTGGGACTAGCTTTTCCTGTTGAATTTGGCCACTGAAAATGGCTGATAATTTTGTTTGACTTTGCTTTTTGAGAAACTGAACAAAATATCTTTGCTCTGAACAGATTTTGTGAGATCACCCTGATGGCAAACCCAGTCATCTGCATAATGGTGCCATTTGTGAATCGGTTTAGACTGAGGACCATGCTTCCTCTCCTCCTTTTTGTGAGCCTATCATGTGGCCAAATCGAACAAGCTGTGTCACACGACATCATTGTGATGCTTCCACGACCCCTAGTTGAGGTTGTCTCGGGAACAGATCCCTAGGTTCGTTTTGTTTTTTAATGGGTTAGGGAGGATTGGTGGGAAATAGGTAATGAATGGAAGGGGCGGGGGAAAGTGGGTGTTTAAGAAGAAGCAATGTTATGAAAATCTCTCTCTCTCTCTCTCTCTCTCGGTCTCCGTCTCCTTCTCTACACACACAGACATATACACGTACTTTCAGAACATCTCTAGTGTACTAGGTTGGTACAGCAAACACAAAGGCCAAAGCATCAAGCTAACCAGCAACTCAATACATGGAGGCTCATTCTGTATGAGGCCTCAGGTTCCGTGGCAGGACTGCTCATTTCATAACCAACCAACACAAAATAGGTTCTCCATATACATTGTAGATAAGGCAAAGGTCAGAAGAGCCAGGAGGCGCTCTCATTTATCTCTGTCATAGGCCCGAGACCTCGAGATGGCTAGAGATCAATATTTGGGGTCTGACTGATAAAGACCTTTCCCCTCTGGGTCATCGGTTCAGCACCAGCCTGCATCAATAGTGACCAAAGGTTGTTACAGTCTGATGAGAGCTCCATGGTTTATGCTAATTACATGGCTTGACTCTGCTGGACCACTTTCTGAGGCGGCATCTCCTTTCTCAGTGCAGTGACATTTGGGTTGAGGATAGGGCCAAAGACAAGGGAGGAAGTCATGGAGGCAGAGAAGAATTAAGAGACTTCCATGTTTTGTGTGTTCCCTTTCTGTCAAGGCTGCTTTCAATGTCCCATCAAGGCTCAGTTATAAGGGTTTAAATGGGAGTTGGACAAATTTATGGAGGAGTAGGGTCAGCGATGGCTATCAGCTGTGGTGGCAAAATGAAAAACCTCCACTAGCACCAGAACCAGTATGCTTCTGGATATCCATCACCAGGAAACATGAACAGGATGGTGCTCTTGCCCCTCGTGTCCGGCTTGTGGGCTTCCCATAGTCATCTGGTTGGTCACTGTGGGAAACAGGATGCTGGATGAGACAGGCCTCTAACCTGATCCAGCCCACAAAGCTCTTGTTCTGTCCTTAATCACAGAATCATTAACACTGAAAGAGAACCGAAAGCCATTCAAAAGACCATCTAGTCCATCTCTCTCTCTCTCTCTCTCTGCTTATACAGGGAAACCCCCAATGCTGGAAGTGGTCTTGTCAGAGCTTCAAAGTAATGAAACCACACATTACAAGGAAGAATGTTTACTTGGCAACAAAGGAGACAACAAGGTTGTCATTTGGGGAAAACCAGGTAACAAACTGTAACATCATCACATTTTTAGCGCAATGAGCAGGGCTTGAAAAATTTTAGAATGTCTCACCAGTCAGTCAAAAATGTCACCAGTCAGCATGACCGGACTATAGCCTTGCAATTTATTGGGACCGGGAATCACTGATTTATACCCTCAGACTCGGGTTGCTTTATTACCTCCGTGCCTGTGGTGTCATGAAGCTTGTATTTTGAATGCCTTTCTTTTGAATGTCTCCAGCAAAAATAAAACTCAAAGCAAAAGTGCCCAGCATCTTAAGGAGCCACAGTTCCCTCCCACCCCAGGATGTGTCCTTGTTCAGTTGAAATTGGGAGCAGGGAATCTCCATATTCTCCAGCATGAGACTACTCTACATTCTCCTGCAGATCTATATCTCTATGTGCTGCTGGAACTCTCTTCTTGCAAGCAGTTTTCCCTTTGCAATGGGAGGTTGGAGGGGAGGACTGCAGGATTAGAGAGAGAGAGAGAGAGAGACAGGCAGAGGGAAGGAGGCAGGCAGGGAGGGAGCTGTGACTCGTCCAGCAGCATGCCCCAACAAGTGCATTTTTCAAGCCCTGTCAATGAGAAATATTTACTCACTGCTTCTAAAGTATTTGGAGCAGGCTGTTGGGGTGGGTGGGAATCTGAACCATCTGGGGCCATTTTTCTGAAATATATTTTTGCTTTAAAATTACAAAAAAAAAACACATTAGCAACAGACTACTCTTTAAATAATCTGCAGTGAAGCTGTTGAGTTGGTTTTTAAAAAAATCAATTAGTGCCTATCCATGGTTTTCTAAAACTAATAATCTGGTTCAAGGGGACAACGGGTGAAGTGTATTTTATTGCTATACCTCAGTCTTTTCATCATTGCACAGGTAATGCATGAATGAAGCCATTTTTTGGACACTTGATGGTATATGGAATGGTCCTCTTAACAGAGCGGCTGCTCCTGAGATTCGATCTCAAGCCACAAGGAGATGATGGATGCATCTTTCCATGCTGTGACAAGCCAAACCAAATGATTTCTTAAGATCAAGCTGCTATTAAATATTAAGTCACACTTAAAAAAAAAAAAACAGACGGCACCTTCCAAGAGCAACCACGCCCTGGTGGTAAAAGTTGGCATGCCTCCACAGTTCAAGATTGTCCGCATGGCATGGCATGGCAGTACACACCACAGGCTCCTCTAGTTGGATGTGCTTGGGTAAGTTTCACCTTCTGAGGCATGAAAAAAGTAGGAGAAGCCAGGTGGTGAGTCACATGCTAAACCTCTCCCATTATGCTTATCTGCGGGAGTCTAGTCACTTACGCTTACATTGGCCATAAAGCTTTTGTTGGAGGTAGTGATAGGAACCCTGGCCCAAATTCTCTGTGCTCTTGCAACTGCATACGGGGAGTGGTGGGTACATTTCTTCCCAGCAGGATCTCCTCTGCATGCCCAACTGGGCCCTGGTTAGGCAACCAGATGTATACCGTACCAAGGTGCACAACCAAATGAATGAAGGACAACCTGCCAGAGGAGTAGAGCCGCCATGTGTTTGGTAACCTTTCCTCAATTGGATTTTGGCTAATGTTGCTGGGGTCTCCAGTGCTGGATCAAACTCATTTTGCAAATTACTGACCAATCTCTAATTTTGCTATCATGGGGAATGTAACTGAACAGTCAGCCAAATTTATGCAGTGCTGGATGATGTGGATAATCTAGATCATGGGTCAGGAAACTGTGATCCTGCATATTGCTGGATTTTATCTCCCATCAGGTCCAGCCAGCATGGGAGTTACGGTCTAATGCCACCTGGAGGGCCATAGGATTTCCAGATTATGAGAAATACAGGGAAGTGCATTTCCTTAAAGCTTCTTGAAAAACTTTTGAAAGGAAGCTCTCCCGTTCTAATGAGCCAACAGTATTTGACAACGTGGTGTGCCTCTCCTGCCTTATGACTTTGATGTTTTGCATTCCAAAGGGAGAAAAATGCATCGATTTTGGAAAAAGAGAACTTTTGGTTAAATGTGTGGTTAAAAGAAGCATACGGTTTCTAATCTTACCAATGCACAGAAACCATAGGAGTTGTAAGATGGGGAAAAAAAGAGTCAACTATTTCAAGCAAAACCAATAAACAGACCCTATTTATATCCTGCAGGCATATCACTGACCTGTCATGGTGGGGAGGCAGGACCCAAACAGACCGCTCAGGAAATTACTAAACACAGAGATAGGTTTCCTTCTAAGCCTACAAATGCCCTCCAGGGACACCCACAGATGGCTGTGGAGCCAAGCTCAGAAAACACTGAGGAAGCCACTGCAGAGATGATTGGTGGAGATCAGTGTTTTTCCTTCTGACTCCTTCACACTTATCTCCAACAGCAAATAAAGAGAACGGCCCCTTGAGAAAACACATCCCTAGGCATATTAATGAGTCCATGGGCCAGTACCGTATATAGAAGACCACCAGGATGTGTGTCAGGGTAGCCACAATACTAGAGCTACGGATCTTTTGCCTTTCAGTCTGAGACCCTGGGAAGCCCTGCCCTAACCAGGGGAGGGGGAGCGGAGGGATTAAGGAATTTGATTGTTAAGGGTTGCTGTCTTTAAGTTCAGTAAGCTTGCTTTTTCTGTCATTGAGCTAAGAACCAAAGGTAACCAATATTCAAGGATACACCGAAGACCACACTGAAAGATTTTAATATTGAGCCTATCTTTGGGATGCTCTCGCTCAAAAGTGTAATATCTGGTTAAGAATTTGAAATAAAAAGAATCAAGGATGCACAAAGGAACAGAGATGTGAGAAAGGAAGGGCGTGGTATGCAGTTTTCAAGGCCTTGGCTTATACAGTGCAATGGAGAGGCATCCACCAATAATCCTGAGCATCCTTCACAATGAATCAGATCCACGTCCATCCATTTGATACAATACTGTACTCTTGGCCATTTGGACAAGCCCTAACTGCTCTCGCTTGCCACCTTTTTTCAGGTCCCTATCTTACACACTTCACTTGCATCCTGATTTTATTCCAAAACTGGGATTCTGTGTTCCTTCTCTCTTCCTGTTCATGGCTTTCTTTGGATTATTACGGGTCTTAGGAAGGGGCCTTGCTTTCACTGCCCTCCATTTCAAGCCCTGCTTCTTGCAACTGCCTTCAATGTGAGGATCAAGGAATCTTAATCATGGCTACAAACTCACCATCAGCCAAGATGTCAGGCAGCCAGAAGCAAATGAAATGACATGATTGTTCTCGGGCTTCACCCACTCAATGCATTTGAAATATTCTAGTGAGTGCTTGGGAATGCGATTTTTCACAACTTCAGTTTCCAGAAGGGTCATGCTGACTGGGGGATTTTGAGAGGTCCTGTACCCAGAAGTAACTTTTCCAGTCACAAACACAACATATACCACGAAGGAAGAGGTTGGAGCCAACGAAGAAAGAGGGAAAGAAGTAGCTTCAGCTATTTTATATAGAATTGGATCTTAAAAGCTTAATTATTGAACACAATCCAGTATTTCAAATACTGAAAGCACAGACCAATGCAGAATCACCAGAAAATTTGCTAGCAAAACTGGAACTTGTGTTTCTGTTCCTGATGTAAGAGCACGATTACTTTTTTTAGAAATTAACTTAAATATAACACGAAGAGTATCATCTTCAATATGTAGTCAAAACGGTTCTCTGAGTATGTGGAGAATACAAAGAAGAACTGCAGCACTATTCTGTGCATATTTATTGAAAAGCACAGCATTACGGTGTTTAATAGAGCCTACTCTCAAGTAAGGCTACACAGGATTGTAGCCTTAGTTGTTATTCCCAAATGTTCCCTACCAGCCTTTTCTCTTCTGGTTTAGCATGTAATTAACACATATACTACTTCCTCTGTGTTAACAACCTTAGGAACTGTAGGCTGTTAATAGGACTAGCAATGAATGGGCTAAGTGGTACAACATTATTGCCTGTATCTTTAAAATGACAAGATACCCCTAATTTACAGCCCCTTTAATTCTTTTACTATTGCAGACCAATTGTATTGTGACCCATCAAAGTCAGCAAGATCCCACAGCAAAGCACGTTATGGCTAGACAAGGCTGAGTATATTCTGAACCTTCACACAAAGCTGGCTGTAAACTCAAATCCCAAACTTATTTATACTGGATTCTCACTCTATTCTTTTGATGTTACTGGTCGCCAAGATGGCTGACGGTAACCCTAACACCCTCTATACTTGTAGTTTTAGAAGAGGTACTGTAGTAGCCATGCTAGTCTGTGCTGGCATATCAGGTAAAAACAAAAAGAAAATAAAGAAGACCGAAATTATGGCACCTTAAAGACTCACTGCTGTATTTTGATGTGAGCTTTCATGGACAAATCCGAGGAAATGCAATATGTTAAGAAATCAGTAAGTTACAGAAAATACCATGTGAACCTTCCAAGAGAAGTCCTGGACTGATTCCACTTTAACAGCATGAAACATTTTTAGTTTTTCTCTGAATACTAGATTTGACTAACATTTATAGAGCTTAAAAAACCCCTCTCCCTTAATGACCTTATTCAGTGCTATTCAATTCCCCATCCACCCCACCCCACCAAGGTCAATTTTTACACATATCCCTGACTAATTCACAAAGTCTAATTCTAATGCAGAGGTCAAAGATCTGTGCATCCATACTGCTAGTATTTCACCCTTCACAAAAGGAACTCTAGATGGCCTATGTACATTTTCTATGTACGTACTACAATGGATGTTGTCCCCTCACAAGAACCCTGCAAAGCAAGTTAGATAAGCCAAGCAAAGAGCAGGAAAGGGAAGACAATCTACCTACCACAATGAGGTTTCCTCTGCCCTAGTCTAAGAGAAAGATACAGTACAGCCTCCTATGGGCTCTAAAAGACTAACTTATTTCCAAGATAGCATGCTAGGAATTGCAGCTGGAGGAGTCAGGGTTCTGTAATGTGGAAGATGTTTTATATTTATCCACTAGAAAGCTTTTCAGTGCCAAGAAGAAAGAAAAACGCTGCAAACGTATACAGTCTAGTTAGAAAATAAAGCTCGTTCTACCTAATAGATCTTACTTCTTGGTAAATAAGAAGATATTTGTTTAATGTTTTTATACACCATCCTTCATCAAAGTAAACCACAGGGTTGCAAGATTAAATTATGTTATTTGAAACCTTGCTCAAAATTCGACAGTTCAGTTCCACTGGAATTAAGAGGACTCCTTTCCAAGTTCATATGTTCAGGTAAGAACCAGGGGCAACTTGTGCAGAGGTGTAGAGAAAACAACAACAACAACAACAACAACAACAACAACAACAACAACAACAACAACAACAACAACAACAACAACAACAAACCCCACCATGCTGATCCTGGCAACACTGGACCCAGAACCTGGGAAAGCTCCTTATTCAGACTATAATTTGCAGAATCCCATGCAGAATTTGGTCCATCTGGAGCAAGGACCTCCACTTACCTAAGAGGGCATTGCGCCCATGATCATCAGGCAAGAATCTTTTATCTACGGCACACACCAAAAGATGACCAGGTACATTTGGTGACTTGGCACCAACAAGCAGAAATCCCGAAGGCACTTCAATCTGTTCATTGGAAATGGATGCTAATCTCAAATCTTTACCAGCCTGACAGAAACCTGGAGGAAAAAAATCACAAGAGATCTAATCCCGCATACAGGTTAAACATGATCAATGAGTGGAATGCAATAATTTTAATTTTGTTGTATAGAAAAGAAAGGGTATTATATAGACAATTTAATAAGATTTCTGCTCTCTAGACTACAGATTCAAGGTAAAAGAAAAACAAAACCAATGACAAGGCACAACGGCCCTCCTCCTTTTATATATGTACGTTGACACATTTAGGAAAGGTTCAGGATTGAGCCCAGAAGTAAGGCGGAGGAAGGAAAGAGGTTCGGTAGATGCTGTAGCACCAATTGTAGCGCAACCTGGGTCAGATAAGATAGTTCCAGAGCATCTCTTTTCTTCCTGTTCAACATAACAGAGCACAGCAGAAGAAATGAATGGAGTGAAAAATGCCTGAATATGCAAGTTTACAAAACATTCACAAATGAAAATGGCTCCAGCAAAGAAGGATGAGACGAATCATTGGTAATGAGCAAAATCATATTATAGCAACTGGAAACAGAGAAAGGACTACAGTCATCCAGGGTATAAAAGAGTGGATGAGAATCAGCTAAAGAGGATTTTTACAATAGTGTTTTCTTAAGATTCCTGTATCCCCTTCTCTGAGGAACTCAGTGTTTTGCATCCAAGTGTATTTTATACAACATTAAAGTTGAAGGTGAACACAACTCAGTCTAGCCCAATTTCACTGTAAAGGGGAGGATGGGAACTGCAAGGATGAAAGCACAAAGGCAAGGTTGAGGGGCATGGAGAGAGACTTCCAAATGTAAGCAAAGGAGAGCACAGGGAAGCCAGTACCCCATTAATGAGGTCCTAGATTTCACACCCAGAATCCAGGAAGTGGAGAGTGAATCAGAGACCACAATTAGAGAGACACAGGTAAAGGTCACATTAACTTTCTGTTTTATTTCTGGTAACACGTTGCACAAAAACAAGGTGACACAATTTGGATTTCCAGTGCAGCCTTTTAAAAGGGTTTTTTAAATATATATATATATATATAGGGACTGAAATCCAGTAGAATACCACAACTAGAGCAGGCCCATTGAAACACTGGATATTTGGTGAGTTAGTTGTATCTGTGGTCCAGCTTCAGCAGAAGTAGCAAATTTATCTCTAGTTTGCACCATTCCACATTCTAGTGGAGACTCACATAACTGAATTTCCCTCCATGATGGATGGATGGATGGAATTAGTCGTTTTGGGTTCTGGAGTTTTGCTACTCTACTAGCTCAGCTCGGCTGGTGGAGGAAAGGGAAGAACCAGCTGGATTTGAGCGCACAGTAGACCTATTGCTTCTGATTTGGGTATGTGTGTGTATTTGTGCACACACATGCTCATACAAACACTTTAAATCAGAATAAGATGGACTGTGATTTATCTCTTTCCAGATTGCCTCATTTGGGTTCCATTTTGTGCTCAAGAAACAAGTTCATGTGGATTTTATGAAGGAGAAGATTCCGGTATTTGTGCCTGTCACATTGGCTGCCCTACAGCTACCCCAGCAGTACGATTTTCTTACCATCAGTGGTGCAACAGCCTTCAGGAGGTGATTTCATCTGATACGTGATGGGGGGACTACTTGATTCTGAACCTTCCTCCTCTTCCTCTTCTTCCTCATCCTCTTCTTCATTATCAGCTCTATTACCAGCTAAAAGATATCACAAGCTCTATCACTGGAAGTCAGGGAAACACTGAGCATTCAGGTTAAGGAAGAGGTCTTGCCTTTATCCATGAAAACTTTGCTATTCCTTCAGCAGACACAGTCTGATCATTAGATAGCAAGCATGGCAATGAAAATGCTATTTAATCTGTGCAGTTCTCGGTAGCCAGAGAACAAGAAAGTGCCTCTCTGCTCCCAATCTGTGTACAAAAGCTGATGGGACTTGTCATTCTATCTTTTTTCAACACTTATGAAGAATCTTCCACTACGCTTGCAGGCAGCAACATAGCACCTAAGGGGAGCAGAGTGAGATGTCTGGGATATAGCTTCGTCCTCGGATGCCCTGCAGCTGCCTTCCAGCACATATTGTCTGCCTTGCTTTGTCTAATTGCAGCGACAGTTCTGCATTTATGAGCTAAACAGAAACCTGGGGGTAATTTCAGGGCCGCTTCTGATATGACAGTTAAGCAAGGCAATGAGAGAAACACGGATGCGTTCTGCCTACCATATGGAAATAAAAAGGTAACGGGGCGAGTCATGTCAGTTCCTGATATAGAAACGATCTGCAGCAATACTGTTAACATTACCCACTGAGTCATGTCAGTTCCTGATATTTATTTTTATTTTTTTATTTATTTATTGGACTTATATACCGCCCCATAGCGCTACAAGCACTCTCCGGGCGGTTTACAATTTTTTAATTATACAGGCTACACATTGCCCCCCCAGCAAGCTGGGTACTCATTTTACCGACCTCGGAAGGATGGAAGGCTGAGTCAACCTTGAGCTGGCTACCTGGGATTTGAACCCCAGGTCGTGAGCACAGTTTTAGCTGCAGTACAGCGTTTTAACCACTGCGCCATGAGGAAACAATCTGCAGCAATACTGTTAACATTACCCACTGACAAGTCACTCGGCTAAAAACAGTACGCTACGGATCAGAGAAACAGAACACATCACTGTTATACAAAAACAATCTTTTTTTTTAATTTTTGTAGCTGTCTCACTTGAAGGGATCACTAAATAGATCCATCCCCAGACTGACAGTCCAGGAAAAAGTCAACAACCCTGGCTGCTCCAGGTTCCCATCAACTGACTCACCTCGTCCTGCCTGATTACTGACAAATTATGGGAGCAGAGGAGCAATCTTAACTGAGATAGCTTGTTGTTATTCAGTGCTGTCAAGCCGCCTCTGACTTATGGTGACCCTATGAATGAGTGAGTGATCTCCACGATGTCCTGTCCTCAACAGCCCTGCTCAGCTCTTGCAAACTCGGCTGTGGCTTCCTTTCAGGAGTCAATCCCTCTCCTGTTGGGTCTTCCTCTTTTCCTGCTGCCTTCCACCTCTCCCAGCATTATGGTCTTTTGCAGAGAATCTTGCCTCCAGAGATAGTCAGGCTTGATTTGCTCTTAGACCCACTTGTTCATCTTTCTGGCAGTCCAGGATATCTAACAGAGCTCTCCTCCTCCAGTACTGTACCATACTTCAGATGACAGAACTCTCCTCCAGTACTGTACCATACTTCAGATGAATCCTTTTTAATGCAGTTCACTAGGACTTTGTTTGCCCCACATCAACTCAAGAGCCCAGGCAGAACTTGGAAAGCTACGTACTTTTAAAATGTGATCTATTACTGCTACTTTTCCACACACAAAAACTGCAATTTCCTTTGTTTTTACTGTTTACAAAAGCAACTTTATACTTTCACTTTATTCAAAAAGCAACTACACTTTTAGTAATTCCTTTTCAAGCAGATATCAGAATGCTACAAGCTGTCAGCTTTAGGTAGTAAGGCCACAACATATTATGACCACTACCTTGATCAATTTACTGCACAGGGAACTGCCAACACTGGAGTGGCTGCAGGGATGAAGAGAAGTCTGATCACCTGCCAGCTCAGATGGTTCAGTCACATGATGGGTTCCATAAGCAGAAAGGAAAGCAAGCAAGCAGGCAGGCAAGCAGACCTCCATATACCCCTGCACCAGCGTCTGTATTTGCAGTTAACATGCTCAGTAAATTGAGCAGGCTACTGGCCCATGTAAGCATAAAGAATAACCAAAAAGTTATAATGGCATCTCAAAAGGAGTGAAGGATCCCTTTGTTAAATTACAATCATGATTAGAGATGGGCACGAATCAGAAGAAATTCTGATTCGTTTTGATTCATGATGGTCAACAAATCACGAATTACAAATCTATTAATTTTTTCTGATGAATCAATGAATTGAGCCGTCAATTCATTTTTTACTTTAAAACCCTATAACATGCCCCGCCAAGTACTAGAAACACCACGTTCACAGGGAAGCTTCCCCTGACACTCCTCTACAAGCCCTGGAAGTCTGATGAAGACTGAATTTCAGACATCCAAGTCATACACCCACAAAGTGCCCCCCCAAAAAATGCCTTTTAGCAGCTGGCTTGAGGAAACCCAATCTTCACCTAACTTGGAAGGATTGTAGAGAAGAGTCAGAGAAAGCTTCCCTGCAATTTTGGTATCTCTAGGTTCTGGGGGGCCATTTTATAGCCAAATGAACTGACAAATCAAAAATGGCTAAAATTCATTGATTCATATTCATTGAGGGCATTGAATTGATGAATTAGCAATGAATGAGTTTGGTTATTCATTTTTTTAAAATTCCTTTCCATCTCTAATCAGGATATAACTTTGGATGTGATTTGTCTTTGCTGCAGCTTGATTCACAGTATTTCTTTATGGCTCTATTCAGTTTAGATGATCTCATAAAGACCCCCAGATTGTTTCAGTTCCAATTTCCACACTGCCTCTCAATCTGATGTGATACATGCCCAAGGTGATATAACGATAAACCTGGTAGTTTTTTAAAAAATTTTTTTTAAAAATTAAAACTTTGGAGTGATTAGAGAGAAAAATCATAGATGTTCTCGCTGTCCCAAAGCATCATACCTCAACTTAATCCATCACCAGAACACCACCCAAAGTCATGCTCTCTCCCCCCCCCCACCAATCTTTTTGTAGAACAAAATAAACAATCACACAGGAGAAACACCATTCTTATCACTCTGGCTTTAAAAAAGTAGAAGCCCCAGTGATGAGGGAGACAACTCCTAAGTGAAAGCAAAAAGGCCAGTCTGACTTGCATTGGTCTTTCTGTTGTGTGATCATTGGAAAATACTTTGAACTCACCATGCTAATAGTGGTGCAAATCCCAAAGTATTAGTCAATGTAAGCCACAGTCTGTTGTGCCCTAGTTATTGAGAAAAGGAATTAATAAGAAAATGACATTTGAGTTCTGGGCATGTAACAAGAGAGTGGGAGAGGGCACTTCGGCAATGGGTGACTTGCACTTCCCATATCCCCTTTCCATCCTACTTCCATGAGTTACCTGTGCTAACTATACAGCACTGATGAGGAAGCTAGTTGGGCCACAAGAGGCTCTTGCTTCCTGTAAGATGCTCTTGTGCTGCCTGCTTGCTCACACCTATATCCTCACTTGAAGAGGGGATGGAGAAAATTGCACTACAGTGGCTCAGGTCCCCAGCCTAAAATATATGTTGATGAAACTGGTTGAGCATAAGCTAAACCAGCATGGAAGTAAAGTGGGTATTATTTTGAGAGTCCAGTTACCACTGATTTAGTAAGTATCAGATAAGCTAAACCAGCGTGGAAGTAAAGTGGCTATTATTTTGAGTCCAGTTACCACTGATTTAGTAAGTATCTGCAGAACAGCTCCTTGAGTCTTCAAAACACACGCACAACTCTTTAACAGCCAAATGTCATAACAGCATGATTTATCAATGCTGTATCAATTTCTATGTGGGTTCCCTTCCCCCCCCCGTCCTTCTTTCCTGAATTAAGCAGAAAGGTTTTTAAGAAGAAGAAAAAAGGACACTGAACTTAGAGAACAAAACTTTTCTGATGCTCACTTAAACTACAGTGATTATTACACTAATCCTCATCCCCATGATTTTAGAACTGCAGAGCTGGAAGGTATCCTATGGGTCACTGAGTCCAGCCCATGTCAAGGAGGCACAGCAGGGGAATTATGCCAGAAACTTTAAGCACTGAGCTATCCAGCAGTTTGAATTACAGTGGTGCCTCGCTAGACGATGATAATCCATTCCACTGAAAACACTGTTTAGCAAAATCATTGTCTAGCGAAAAGCATTTCCCCATTGGAATGCATTGAAACCTGTTTAATGCATTCCAATGGGGAAGAATCGTCGTTGTCTAGCGAAGATTGGCCATAGGAAAGCCGCTTTGCGAACCACCATTCAGCTGTTTAAATAGCTGTCTTCTGAAGCTTAGGTTCCAAAAACACCCGTTTTGCGAGCGCGGAGGGAGCTGTCAAAATCGTTTCTAGCGAAAATCGGTTTACGAAGCAGGGACCAAACATTGTCCAGCGAAATTCCCCCATAGGAATCACTGTTTTGCGAATCGCTATAGCAATCGCAAAAAGTCAATGTCTAGCGAAAAAACTGTCATGCAGGGTAACTGTCTAGCGAGGCATCACTGTAAATATAAAGAGTACTTTAAGCATGAATAAAGTAAGTTTAAGATAAATTTTAACCAAAGAATAGTTGATACACAAAGCAGTCACATAAATGATGAGTGTGAAAAGGAACATGGTAGAAAAACCTATGAAAATAGCACAGCTGTCCATTGGAGATTTATGCAAAGATCACAGGCTTTAACATTTAAAAAACAACTGCTGTGCTGATGTAACACCGTGTTTTGCAAAAGGAAGTCACTGTCTGTAGGCTACAGTCTGGAGGTGTCATTTCATTCCAGGGATGTTGCCTGCATCCAGGCCACAGAGACAGACTTGAAATGTTGCTGGCACCTTGCTGGGTATGAGAGGCACCATATTTTCATTGATTCTAGGTGTAGTAGTGGATTATTAGAGATGGGGCAGTGCTCATTGATCCATTGTGTTTAGACAACAGAGTGCCTTGCCACACTGTTTTTGTCCCTAGTCAGTTCTGTGCCATCAAGTCAGAACCAACTT